AGGAGTACACTGTCATCATCCGACCAAGGTTTCAAAAGGCATGGACACCAAATTTCATATACCATTGAATAAATCAGTATAAAAAACTTGTATAAATTTTTTTTTTTTTTTAAAAAAAAAAAAAATACAATTAAAAAAAGACTCACCACCCAATCATTACGCTTCAAATTTTGAATTTGGGTCCATAAAAGCTCTAACATCTTTTTTTTTTTTTTTAAAAAAAAAAAGATAAAAGTTAACAAAAAACAAAGAAAATGATATATAGAACATATAATAATCAGACAATTCAATCAAACGCGTCCTAACTCATCCCTGAAATGAGCAAATGTTTGATTGGATTGACACTGGTATAATAAATTCATTAAAGTAGATCTGAAATAATTTGATAATGCTGAATGACAACAAGTCGTAACTAATACAAAAGGAAAAGGCTCTCACATCATGTTGTTCATATGGTACATTGGATCCAACATAAGGTTGGATAGATTTTCGAACGACAGATCCATCTATATCCAGTATAGTTCGTTCTCGAGTATAGAAATACCGTTCGGTTTTTGCCAACATGTTTTCTAGTACATCAGGGCACCTTTCTCGAAGTCTAGTTGCTACCTGAAATTATAATTAATTAATATCTTAACATAATAAATAATGCTTAAGATATGGATATAATTACATAAGGTAATGAAGCCAAAACAATATAAATAATTGTGTCTGCGCGAGATATCTTCAAATTTTGTTCATCGAGAACCGTTAATAAATCATCATAAATATCTAACATGGTTCTGGGTAATATAACATTTGCATTTGTCAACTCTCCAAAAAATTTGAGCTTGTCCCGATGATAATGAATAATGAATGGTTTATTAATGAATGAAAAATCACGTTTTAACATTAGAATTCCAAACAAATGAAAATCTTACAGATAATTTTGCACCACGCCAATTTCCTTCATTCAAACATTGTTGTAAAGTCTGCGCAGTCATTTTCACAACCTTGGCCCCAACTTCAGATCGCGTAACATTCACAAGACCAACAAGGGTACCATAAATATAAGCCTTCATTGGTAATTCCATGAAGCTGAATATAACAATTAACATAAAATAATTGACCATACATAAAATCGATCGAAAATTAATATAAATACCAATTTTTTATTGTTTTCAGGACGTGACTCTCAAGTTTTGAATATTCATTATTTAATATACTGGAAACCTTTTCGATATTTGTTGTTATTTCTTTTGGTGTCATCTAATGAGGAAAAAAAGGTGCTAAAACCTTAATTAATTTAAAACGCGAAAAAAAAATCAAACTTAAATCATATTCGACTTACACCAAATCGATGATGTTACCTTGTCACCCAAAATAATCAAAAGAGTTGTCAATCTTTTCTCGGGACTATCTTCTGCAGGTTGTTCCTGTACTTCAATATAACCGCTTCTTCCACGATCTCGATTCCTTTTATCCCGACCACTACCTCGACGATCATCGTCTAATGTAATTATATAGATTAGTTGTATATATTGATAAATTTGTAAATTTGATTACCAAAGAGAATGAATATTAGAATAACATGCCTCGATATCTTCTTTTACCACCGCCTAAGCAAAATTTGAAGTTATTAATATTTGAGTTTGTCCAATAAAAAAAAAAAAGGTAATAAGTTTGGTTAATATTTACTATCTCGTCGATTTCCTCGTTCATCCCGTGAGCGATCCATTTTTTTTTTTTTTTGAAAGACTTGTTTTTTGATGGCTATTTTTTTTCAAATCGAAATCTCAAAAAATAGTGAAATGTAATAATTTAATCATCGCATGGATGCGATATATGTCACATGGTTGAATTTTGAATTTTGTCCCGGAATTACATAATTTTGCCCAGTAAGCGACGTGCGATGAAAAAATTTACTCTAATAAAATTTATATTAAATTTTTTATATATAAAGTAATTTATTAGATCTAATAATCCAAATATATTCAATTAATATATATAGTTAATGAGATATTTAATAAATAACAGAATATATATTGATACTATTATTATTATTATTTAATTATTTATTACCTTTATAATATTATTAGAAATTTAATAAATACTTATTATTTTACTTAATTATTTTTTATATTATATAAATGTTTTATTCTTTAATAATATTAAAACAATTTACTTGTAAATTTACTAATTAATTTAAATATGAAAGGATTTTTAGAAAATTCAGATTCTAAGAAATTTTTAACTAAAATTAAGAGTTTATATCAAATAAAAATACAATAAAAATCTCAAATTTATTAAAAAATTCCCAGAACCTGAATTAACTCATATATTAAATTATTTTTTTTATAAAAACTCAAAATATTTTTTTATTTATTTATTTATTAATAATATTAAAAAATGCTACTTTCTATTTGTATATAGGTGTTCTAAATCCAAATTATAAATAATAATAAAATAATGTTATCACATGACTGCAAAAAATTTTTATAGATATGAAAAATACTATGCAAATATATGTTATGCCTCAGATAAATTCTTACCTTAGATTACAACTGATACATCTCAGATTATAATCATCAAGTAAGATACATAATTTAAATCAATAATTATTTGAGATACCACAGCTGTAATCTGAAACAATCTATTCAATTATAGTAAATGCACATTTTTTAAATAAAATAAAGAAAAAAATATATTTAAAATTGAATATTATATTACAGTTTTTAAAGCACATATTTTATTCCTTAGATTGTCTAGCAGGCAAATTTGCCTGCAAACTTAAAAAAATATGTTATTTTTTTTAATAAAATATTAAATATTAATTTTAGTAATATAATAATAATATGAAAAAT